TTTGTGTTAGGGTTTTGGTTAGGGGTTTGTGTTAGGGTTGTGGTTAGGGGTTGGTGTTAGGGTTTTGTTTAGGGGTTGGTGTTAGGGTTTTGTTTAGGGGTTTGTGTTAGGGTTGGTGTTAGGGTTTTGGTTGGGGGTTGGTGTTAGGGTTTCGGTAAGGGGTTTGTGTTAGGGTTGGTTAGGGGTTAATGTTAGGGTTTTGGTTAGGGGTTGGTGTTAGGGTTTTGGTTAGGGGTTGGTGTTAAGGTTTTTGTTAGGGGTTGGTGTTAAGGTTTTTGTTAGGGGTTGGTGTTAAGGTTTTTGTTAGGGGTTGGTGTTAAGGTTTTTGTTAGGGGTTGGTGTTAAGGTTTTTGTTAGGGGTTGGTGTTAAGGTTTTTGTTAGGGGTTGGTGTTAAGGTTTTTGGTTAAGGGTTTGTGTTAAGGTTTTTGTTAGGGGTTGGTGTTAAGGTTTTTGTTAGGGGTTGGTGTTAAGGTTTTTGTTAGGGGTTGGTGTTAAGGTTTTTGGTTAAGGGTTTGTGTTAAGGTTTTTGTTAGGGGTTGGTGTTAAGGTTTTTGTTAGGGGTTGGTGTTAAGGTTTTTGTTAGGGGTTGGTGTTAAGGTTTTTGTTAGGGGTTGGTGTTAAGGTTTTTGTTAGGGGTTGGTGTTAAGGTTTTTGGTTAAGGGTTTGTGTTAGGGTGTTGATTTTAGGTGAGGTTGGGGTTTGTGCTGTGTTTAGGTTTGCGTCAGGGTTTTAGTTAGAGGTTTGGTTTTGGTGTGGGTTTTTGTTGAGATTGTGGTTAGGGTTTGTGTGTGAGTGTGTATTTTAGTAAAGGTTTGGATTTGTGCTTTGTTTGGTGTTTAGGTTTGTGTGTGTGTGCTTTGTGTCTAAGGCCTTGGGTTGACTTTGGGTTCGAGTTTAGGTTTTTAAGTTAGGGTTATTATGAAGAGTAGCTACATTTGAATGTATTTGTTTAGAGATTTAAACGAAAGTTGAAAAAATATGAAACAGCGTAGTCGAATGTTAGAGGTTACGACTGCTAGCATGATAGTCTCAATTTCGGATCCCAGACTCTAATCACTGGTAATAGGTACCTGACACATTAGGAAAACCAAGACAGCTGGGCATAGTGCTGACCACACTAATCCGGTAACAGTGGCGTAGCGAGGTCGGGTGTCCCAGGGACAAACTTTCAAATTTTCGATTTGCACCCCCCCCCCCCCTTCAAACTTTCGATTTGCACCCCCCCCTCGAGTTTTTCTCTATATATTTTGCTATTTTTTGCCTTGGTGTCATTCCCTAAATGGTGTCACCCGGTGCGGTCCCCCCCCCCCCCCTCGCTACGCCCCTGTCCGGTAATTCAAAAAGATGAACTCTACTTCATCTTACTATTGTGTCTTGGGCGCGAACTGTAAAAGATGATGAATTTAAAAATATAATTCTCATTAGTCATTGGTTGTTTCCGTGTTGTGGTCACTATCTCCTCCAATTAGATTGTGTTTTTATGTGCTAGCCAATATCTAATTGACCTAGATGATATTTGGAGCACAGTGTTATCTAGAAACTAAAAAAAAACGCCATTGAAATTTGCAATACAACATGGCGACGGCCTGTTGATGTTTTCAGTAAAACAGTGAATCATTGAATCAATTGTTTGTAGATTTGTTGTATTTCTTATCCAGTTATTCTTGTTGCTAGGGGATGTTTGCTTGAATACACTGCGGTAGGGGATAAAAAGCTTGATTTAATTAATGTAATGAGTTAATTACAATTTCGGTTTAATGTTTTTTAGCCTACATAATTGAATCAATGTAGAATTTGTTTCATTGTAAAATATAAGTTTGAAAACAATTTTTATAGCTATGCCATGTTACAGTATGAAGATCAAAACGTGTTCAAATGTATTCATATTATGGCCTTAAGACGTATTTATTCAACTTGAAATGTTACTTTATAATGTGAACTGACATGGAAAAATTGGATTCATATGACAAAATTTGATTTACATGACAAAATTGGATTGACATGACAAAATGGACTGACATGACAAAATTGGATTGACATAACAAAAAATTATCCTACTATTCTATATCCTGCTATCCTCTCTACCTGATATTCAAATATCCCACTTCACAAAGTTCACATTAATAGTGCCAATATCTCCAATCCGTTTACACAATGTCTTGTTAAATATTTTTTTATCAGTGATATAAGTAACAATCCATTACACTCCCCCCCTCCCCACGTTACAGATGCCAACACATACAAACTGTAATGAGTAATAACACAAAGACAATGACCAAGTAACCGGACGTAGAACACATTGGCTTATAATTGTATCTAAATATAGATTTTGACGTCACTTATGTAAACAAATAATCAACGAAGTAGGCGACGTGTCCGACTGACACACTGGTGTGGCACGGTGTTTGTTTATGTGTAGTCTCTGTGTTGCTGTGGTGGTGTGTCAAAAAATGTTGATGTTGCAGAGTACGACAAGATGATACAGGAGCTAGTGGTGCTGTTGGTGATGGTGCTGGCGTTAGAAGGTCAACTATATGAAGGTAAGGATGTGTTGTATTCACTGGTCACCATTGTAGGCTAGATACTAGTACTAGATGGTGTTATACTGTATAAAAGTTAAGGAGGTGTTGTATTCACCATTGTAGGCTAGATACTAGATGGTGTTATACTGTATGAAGGTAAAGAGGTGTTGTGATCACCTTTGTAGGCTAGATGGTGTTAAACTTTATGAACTGTTAATTAGCGCTATAAAAATTCTGAGCCTGTGATGTCTAGGTTAAAATTAATTAGTAATTAATTAGTCTAGATGAGACTGCAGTAAGAATGCTAAACTTGGAACGTAATTCTTTCTAAAACAAAGATAAGATTTTTTTTCTTTTCGTTAAAAATAATGCCTGAAAATAAGATTTTTTAACTGTATATGCATAGTATATATACATATATACATAGATATATATATATATATATATATATATATATATATATATATATATATATATATATATATATATATATATATATATATATGATTATGTAAATATATATATATATATATATTTATATCTAAGTCTGCTCTACTTACCTATCTATCTTAGTATCAATTAAGTCTGCCTTAACTATTTACTTTACCCTATATATATATATATATATATATATATATCCTTAACTATCTTAGTATCAATAAAGTCTGCCCTACCTACCTTCCATATCCCTACCCACTAAGTCTATCCTACCTACTTTCCATACCTCTACCCACTAAGGTTGCCCGAGCGCCTGGTTCGAATACTCCGGGCGCTGCTACAACTTTGTGTTCACCCCCCTGAGAACGTACCAGGAGGCGACCATCTACTGCCAGCAGGATTTCTCTACTCTGGTCAGCATCAACTCACCTGGTGAGCACAGCTTTATCCAGACCTGGCTCATCACTCATGACGCCCACAGGTACTCACGCTTACGTATGTTAATTAGGTTGTTTTTTTTTACCTTCAGGAAACGTTTCTAGATTACTTAATAATTGTTTTCTGCGCTTTTGGGGTTTTAAAAAAGTGTAGTTTTCCATTATAAATAAATGGTAAATTTAATTGTTTATCACAACAACAAATTTAGAAAAAAATTTAAAAATTGTTATTATAACTAGCTAGCTGACTCTAGAAAAATTAGTACAAGAAGAATCAATGATTATGTTATCGAATTTTATGTTACTTTATGAACCTTGAGTTTACAAAAGAAGGTGTTGTTCTAGATGGATGCCTTTGTCATAACAACCATATTTTTAGAAGAGTCCCTGAAGCATGCATATTTTTTTTTCTTTAAGAACCCTAACTTAGATACACACAATGAAATTTAAATAAATGTTTATTAACAAAGAATTTTAAATCTCCTAAGCCTAATCTATTTTATTCCAAATTATGTTCTGTACTTTTTGAGGTTTGAACTCAGTTCCAATCAAACCCTCATGAGCGGCGGTATTTGTTCATTTTAAGGGAATGTTTAACATGAGTGGTGCCTCTAGATTTTTTTTTCAAATGACTATAGACACTTTATTTAATCAGCTTGTAGGTGTATCTATTATTGAAAAGTTGTTTTGATACAAATCAAGTGCGAAACAAATGCACAAGATATAAGCATCAACACACGAAACAAAATAGAAAACCGAATTACAGTTTTTGTCAGAGTTACCACCGTAAGTGGCGGAACGCAAATTTTGTTTTAAAACACGTATTCTTATTTTGTCAACCAACAAGAGAATACAAGAATCTAAATTAAAATATACCAACGAATTAATTATGCGTTGCAAATATATATTGTTATTAGAGTAAACAAAATCAAATATTTTTTCGATAGCCTAAAATAGAGAATTGTGCTCCCCCGCTTCTGTTAAATGTCTGCATACGATCTTTTAAAAACTCCAGAAACGTGTTAAGATCCGATTATGTGTTGTACAACCGTATACCACCTTTTTTGGACCTTACAGTCCATGGGGCAGGTGAAGTAGAGCTCACCTGTTTCAGTGACATTGACAAATGAAGGAATGGTGTGGTTAGAACTATGCCCAGCCGCCTTAATTTTTCTTAACATTAGGTTGGACTGAATGCGCCCTAGGATCCAAAATCTAGACTTGCGGGTTAGTAGTCGAACGCTCTACCACGGAGTCCCCTACAGTTGTAAATATACCACGCTTTACTTCCAGGAATGACTGGTTGACCAGTGGCTATCGTGACGCCGCTGACCGGATACTCTGGGACTCTGATGGTTCCCTGGTGACGGAGAACTTCTTTCCAGACCCGGCAGCCAGAGACAGGCAGGATGTGGACGAGAAACTCAGCATAGTCTACAACATCATTGTGTACCGGTATATGGGTAAGTCGTGTCTACGACATCATTGTGTACCGGTATATGGGTAAGTCGTGTCTACAACATCATTGTGTACCGGTATATGGGTAAGTCGTGTCTACAACATCATTGTGTACCGGTATATGGGTAAGTCGTGTCTACATCATTGTGTACTGGTATATGGGTAAGTCGTGTCTACAACATCATTGTGTACCGGTATATGGGTAAGTCGTGTCATATAGTCTACAACATCATTGTGTACCGGTATATGGGTATGTCGTGTCTACAACATCATTGTGTACCGGTATATGGGTATGTCGTGTCTACAACATCATTGTGTACCGGTATATGGGTAAGTCGTGTCTACAACATCATCGTGTACCGGTATATGGGTAAGTCGTGTCTACATCATTGTGTACCGGTATATGGGTAAGTCGTGTCTACAACATCATTGTGTACCGGTATATGGGTAAGTCGTGTCTACAACATCATTGTGTACCGGTATATGGGTAAGTCGTGTCTACAACATCATTGTGTACCGGTATATGGGTAAGTCGTGTCTACAACATCATTGTGTACCGGTATATGGGTAAGTCGTGTCTACATCATTGTGTACCGGTATATGGGTAAGTCGTGTCTACAACATCATTGTGTACCGGTATATGGGTAAGTCGTGTCTACAACATCATTGTGTACCGGTATATGGGTAAGTCGTGTCTACATCATTGTGTACCGGTATATGGGTATGTCGTGTCTACAACATCATTGTGTACCGGTATATGGGTAAGTCGTGTCTACATCATTGTGTACCGGTATATGGGTAAGTCGTGTCTACATCATTGTGTACCGGTATATGGGTAAGTCGTGACTACAACATCATTGTGTACCGGTATATGGGTAAGTCGTGTCTACATCATTGTGTACCGGTATATGGGTAAGTCCTATCATATAGTCTACAAAATCCGGTATATGTGTACCGGTATATGTGTAAGCGATGTTAGCTAATTTAGCAAATTTAGCCAATAAGTCAATTTAGCTTAATTAGCCACCAACATTTTCAGGAATAATTACATGTCTGTTGAAATAGCCAACAATATCTTTAGATCCTAAGTCATATCAACTGTCATAGCCCAATGAACCTTTATGTCGTAGTTGTTATCTTGTAGTACGTAGTGTTCGTAGTTCGTTATTCGTAGTTCTAATGTCGCAATTCATGTCAGTTAAAATTGCCAAGCAAAGCTTTAGTTCATAAGTCATGTCCGATAAAATTGCCAACCAAAGCTTTAGTTCATAAGTCATGTCCGATAAAATTGCCAACCAAAGCTTTAGTTCATAAGTCATGTCCGATAAATTTGTCAAGCAAAGCTTTAGTTCATAAGTCATATCAGCTAAGACAGCCACACATAGCATCATATCGTTGTCGTGATTTCTCTGTTGTAATAAAATGTGTAAACCAGTATAAAATCCTCCCCAGCATCCAGCAACAGCTATGTGTGGGCCTGGAGCAGACTGATGAAGTCCGCAAACTTTATCTGTGAGATCAACAAGGAAGACTCGTGGAAACTTTATCAACACGCCAGGGATTTCTGTGAGTTCACTGAAGCTTCTATTTTAATTTTATTTTGTTTGGCAAAAGTAGGCCTACTTCTTCCTAGAAGAAGGCCTCCTAATTCTGATATTTAATAAAAATAAAACAGTACCACTGCTTTCAAACGCGCCCTGTTTACCATGCGTTAGCCTTTGCATGAAATAAAATGGTGCCCCGCCGAAAAGGCTTCGGAAAAAAAATTCCATCCAAAAACAAAACAATTTTTTAAAAAGCGCATGAGCAGTCAGTCTTCACACATTGTATAACATAAAGACCCCAGCTACAAGGATTAAATATTATATCACTAAAATATATATTACAATCTTGTAGAATTGCCTGATTACATTTATTTGAAGAAAAGCATATTTTGAAAAAAAATTATATATAGATATAATTTATATACATAGATCAGGAGCTGTTTGAAGTGAAAATTTAAATTGATTTGTAAAATGTGATAAAGTTCTCCCAATCGGAAATTTGACAAGGTTGCCAAAATTGTAATTCACCCCCCCCCCCCCCTCCCCCCCCCCCCCCCCCCCCGTATTCACCTTCATTTTGCCTGAAATGGTTTGTTTCCCCAGCCTATGTTTGACCTTAAACTAAGTAATATCTCCAAATATCTCCCCAACCTACGTTGGACCATTAAATAATATCTTCATATGTCTCCCAGCCTATGTTTCACGTTAAATTAAACAAGACCCACCCCCCCTCCTCCAAACTCCTGTGTCTCCCAGCCTATGTTTTACGTTAAATTAAACAAGACCCCCCCCCAAACTCCTGTGTCTCCCAGCCTATGTTTTACGTTAAATTAAACAAGACCCCCCCCCCAAACTCCTGTGTCTCCCCAGCCTATGTTTCACGTTAAATTAAACAAGACCCCCCCCCCAAACTCCTGTGTCTCCCCAGCCTATGTTTCACGTTAAATTAAACAAGACCCCCCCCCCAAACTCCTGTGTCTCCCCAGCCTATGTTTCACGTTAAATTAAACAAGACCCCCCCCAAACTCCTGTGTCTCCCCAGCCTATGTTTCACGTTAAATTAAACAAGACCCCCCCCTTCAAAAACTCCTGTGTCTCCCAGCCTGTTTCACGTTAAATTAAACAAGACCCCCCCCCCCCCAAACTCCTGTGTCTCCCCAGCCTATGTTTCACGTTAAATTAAACAAGACCCCCCCCCCTTCAAAAACTCCTGTGTCTCCCAGCCTGTTTCACGTTAAATTAAACAAGGCCCCCCCCCCCCCTTCCCCCACCCTCCAAACTCCCGTGTCTCCCCAGCCTATGGCAGCAATATCACCGACCCCAACCTGTGGGAAATGGCCCCCAACATCACCTACCAGTCCCCCGACACGGTCTTCTACGACTCCAACAGCCAGAGAACGACGGTGGTGCTGGAGTGTCTGGCCACGGGCAACCCACGCCCAGTCTACAAGTGGTACCGGAAGTCCTCCGTACAGTAAGTTCTTCAATATAATTCTCTACGTGGGGACCATGCGAGACACCACCAAGACGTAAGCTCAACAGATCATATCGCTACTACCCACCCCCCCCCCCCCTCCCTACACACACACACACCCACCAGTCTAGTGAGCTGTTTACAATCGTAGTGACTGCTATTAGGGGGAGATAATTTAGTTTTTAAACGATTTGAAATTAAGGGGAGGTAATAACATATTCTGCTTGCTCTTTTCATTGTCTGTAAATTGTCGTCACACCGGCTGCGTTAGCGGGTGGATGGGGGAGGGGGTGAGGGTGAGGATAATCGTCCTTCACGAGCTACTGATAGTGATTTAAAGCAAAATATTTTCAGTCACAGCATTGGTCGTGTCAAATTCACCAAGTATGAATTACTAAAAATAGGAATTAAACTATATAGCGGCGTATGCTACGTCGCGGTTCAGCTCGTATTAAAAAAAATTAATGAAATCTTTCAATGCCAAGGTCATTCGTCTTCAGTATGACCTTCTAGTTTTCTTTAAGTTTTTTATTGTGTATCTTAAAAAATTGATAATTCCTTCCATTAATAGTTGATTAAGTCTCATAAGAATTTTTTTTTCTGTCTTGACTCGTTCGATTAATTTCGGTATTTTGATTCTTCAAAGCAAAACGAAGAGGTGTTCGGAAATCACCCCCATCCATTAGCTTCTTAATATTAACTACAAATTATATTATTCTCTCTAAACTTTGTTAAAGTAAGCTTTTTTTTATATCTTCAAAAAAAGAACAAAACAAATCTCACTTAAAATCTGTTCCTTGGTCACTGTCAAAGGGCCACTTTTGTATTGAAAAACGTTCAGTTTACTTTGGGTCTTTTAACTTCCAAACCTGTATCAAGGAAGTTTCTGTAGGCTACAGCCAATAACGTATACACTATTGTAGACAATGAACGCTGTTACTTTTAGTAAGTAATAGTTCACTTTCAAACCTGGCGGTCTATGAAGTAAAGTAGAGTTCACTTGATTCTGTAAACTCGGCATATGCCAACCCGCCTTTACTTTCCCTAACGTGAGTTAGGTACCCTTCAGAGTTGGGTTGACTCAAGGACGGTCTACTGACTTGAACCCGGATTCGAACTCGAGACTTACGGGTTAGTATTCCAGCTTCCTTCCTTCCTTATACGGAAACCGGCTCAGGAGTTGGTCTCCCATTAGCCAGGCAGGCATCAGTGTAGTAAACCCCGACCACAAGAGTTTCCCACACATCGGTCGCTACTTCCGTCGGCTCTCACCGGGCTTTCCTTCCCCACCCACCAGACGCGGGACGTCGTCCTACCGCCTGGTACCCAGCTTCATCGTGGGGGGCATTCGGCCTGATCAAAAACCTCTAGCGCTGTTGGCTACCACTAGCTATTCCGCACCCATTAGGGGGTCATGAGCTTGGTCCGACTAGTGGCACTCTTCTGAAGCCACGTGAAGGCCGCAGCTTAAAGTCAAGATATCTGGTTAGGGTCGAGAGCAAACCCATTTTGGTTCCCGGCAGTCTTGCACCTCTCCTCCCCCACGCTATTATGTAGGGGATTTGGGAGTCCGACGTACCAGGCTCTTCGGAAGTAGTCCAGCTCTCTGCCGCTAGACCACACCGTAGTAAGTACTATTGTGAACTGTGACTATTATTTGTGGCAAGGACTTGTAATAAATGAGGTGCCATCAGAATAAGAGTACAGCATGAAATTATATACACAACTATAAATCAAATATCACAATAAAATAGTATAATTTTGTCTCCAAATTCTTAGTTTTAAATGTTTGTGATCTATCGTTTTTTTGTAGGTTATTTGCTTATTTTCTGATTCGAGAGCTTAGACCGTTAAATGCCTGCGTTCGATAGGTCTTTGAATAGAAACGTTCAAGTTGGAAAACACCGGGAATCACACCGCCATCTGATAATTGATTAAATCACAGCTAGTATAACCTTTTTAATTTTTAATTTAGTGAACTCTAATTTAAATTTTATTGACTAGTCTAATTGCTAATTTGATTACAAAAGAGACGTTCTTGCTCTGTCATTGGAGATGTATTTGTCTAGTAAGTTTGAATGAAATCGGCGCATTAGAAGTGGGTTAAAACTGAGTTATAAGATTTCTCATAACCTACGAACAAATAACAGACATTGTGAACTAGCTAAACGCTTATGAAAAATAACTATATTTGTGTTTTACATCAGAGTTTCTTCCAGACATCTCTTCATCCCCCCCCCCCCGAAGAAAGTCTACCACCCCCCCCCCCCACCACCGAACGAAATGGAATTTATATAGAAAATATATACTTTTGACAGTGTCCACCCCCCCCCCCTGGAAATTGTTGTCCGCCCCCCCGCCCCCCCCCGCCCCCCCCCCCCCCCCCCCCCGAAAATTTCAAGTGCACCTTCGGAGAAAAGAGTCTGGAAGAAACACTGTTTTACATTTGTTATTAAAGAATATAAACTTATTTCCCTATTTCGTTTACTGTCAATGGAGATAACCTTTTATAAAGTTTATATAATCATTCAAAGAAAATAAAAAATTCAACTTATTGAAATAAAAATAAACATTATAAGTTTTAGTTGTAATATTTAACGTTTAATGATTATAAGAGATTAATTTTATAATTTGATTAATACATATATTATATTTTACAATAGTTAGAAATATAAAACGCTAGCTTTATAAATAATCAATTTTATTCTTATAAGGAAGTGTGTGTAACAAATTTCACAATATTAGAGCCAATTCAATCTGTATTTTCTTAATAATTTATCTCTATCTGTGATCTTTAAAAGTTACATAAAAATTTCAAAGAACTTACATTAACATAAAAATAATCTTGTTTGTAAGTAGAAGCACGTGAAAACAGCAAATAAAGATTATTTAGATTCCCCGCGATATAATAAGTTAATTTTTGTCAGAGAACACAAAATCGCGTAAATATTGTTACCTTGGAGTTCCGTAAATCAGACACAGGAAGATGTTATAGACACCATTTGTGCCCAAGACACATGGGGCAGATGAAGTAGAGTTCATCTGTTTCAATGACGTCGGCATACATGGAGATAGAGTGGTCAGCACTATGCCCAGCCGCCATTGTTTCCCTAATGTGAGTTAGGTGTCCATGTTAAAATGCTTCTGCTGTTCTTTCTATTACAGAAAGTTTACAAAACTAAACATGCACTTTGGAAATGCTGCTGTCGTTCAAACTATTACAGAATGTTCACCAAACAAAACATATGAGTTAAAAAGCTGCTGTCGTTTATACTTTCAGAGCTAAAGAAGAACAAGTTACAGCAGAGTTGAGCTCACGATACAGTGTGACCAATGGCAGACTGACCATTCTAAACGTGAGTAACGCACGTGTAATGGTTCTTGTTTCTGGGTTCAGATTTTATCGACTGAAGTCAAGTCTTACATGTAGTAGAACAGACTTAATAGATTTGATGAGAGGTAAATACAATACATACCCAAAAACAAAGTAAGGTTCACTTTTCGAACCTAACGGTTTACGGGACAGTCAAAGTAAAGTTCACCTGTTTCTGTGACCTAGTCATATGAAGAGATAGTGTGGTCAGCACTATGCCCAACCTATCCCTAACGTTAGTTAGGTACCCATTAGAGCTGGGTGGACTCAGGGACGTTTTTGTGACTTAAGCCGGTATTCGAAATAAAAACGTTCAGCTATACAGTATAGCGCTGAATCTCTAGACCACGCCGTCCCACCCAAAACGTACTCTTTTTATTAAAATGTTTGATGTTGGTGTCATGAGTTTAAATGAATAACACACACACACACACATATATATATATATATATATATATATATATATATATATATATATATATATATATATATATATAATATATATATATGAACACACAATCACACATGCAGACTCACACAGACATACACACAAACTCACACATACTTACAAAATAAACCATTTACATTCTCCGATATCTTTAAATCTATGTTCGAACAGGATTCGAACCTGTTCTCTTAAATTACACTCTTTTAAAAAAAAAAGGTTTGATCTAACGCTAATCCTTATCTAAACTGTTACCTTACCTAGAAGGTTGTGCTTAACACTAACCCTAATCTAAACTGTTACCTTTATCCATTGATCTAACACTAACCCTAATCTAAACTGTTACCTTTATCCATTGATCTAACACTAACCCTAATCTAAACTGTTACCTTTATCCATTGATCTAACACTAACCCTAACCTAAACTGTTACCTATACCCATCAATCTAACACTAACCTACTAAACTGTTACCTATACCCATTGATCTAACACTAACCCTAACCTAAACTGTTACCTATACCCAACGATCTAACACTAACCCTAACCTAAACTGTTACCTATACCCAACGATCTAACACTAACCCTAACCTAAATTGTTACCTATACCCATCAATCTAACACTAACCTACTAAACTGTTACCTATACCCAACGATCTAACACTAACCCTAACCTAAACTGTTACCTATACCCAACGATCTAACACTAACCTACTAAACTGTTACCTATACCCATTGATCTAACACTAACCCTAACCTAAACTGTTACCTATACCCAACGATCTAACACTAACCCTAACCTAAACTGTTACCTATACCCAACGATCTAACACTAACCCTAACCTAAATTGTTACCTATACCCATCAATCTAACACTAACCTACTAAACTGTTACCTATACCCAACGATCTAACACTAACCCTAACCTAAACTGTTACCTATACCCATCAATCTAACACTAACCTACTAAACTGTTACCTATACCCATTGATCTAACACTAACCCTAACCTAAACTGTTACCTATAACCATTGATCTAACACTAACCCTAACCTAAACTGTTACCTATAACCATTGATCTAGCACTAACCGTAACCTAAACTGTTACCTTTACCCAGCCAGATTAACACTAATCCTAATCTAACCTGTTCCCTTTATCCAGCCAGATCCTAGCGTGGACGTCAGCCGCTACACTTGTGAGGCTTCCAACAAACTGGGGGTCGTGGTATCGAATCCTGTTGAGGTTATCCACGGTTGTAAGTTGAATGGTTCAATATACGAGGTTGCTAGTTAACTGGTTAATCTGTTATATACGGTGGTTAATAAATTATGTACGTAGTAAGTTAAATAGTTAATCATACAAGACTGTTAGTTAAATGGTTTATCTTTTGTATACCGCTGTAAATTAATGAGTTAGTTAATAAGTTAAATATCTAATTAATTATCCTTGAAATTTGTAATAATCTGCTGTACATTACTTATGTCATAAGAAACAGATACAATCCACATCATTTAACCCAATGACAATTTGAAAACGTTCTTTTACTTATGCAAAAACAAATGCCTTTACAAATAGGAAAACTGTTATAAGCAATATGTTAAAAATTTACTCTATGACTACCCCCCCCCCCACACACACACACACATTTCTCTGTAACCTTGGTCAAAGATAGTCAGAATGGTCCGAACAATCCCCCCCCCCCACACACACACACATTGCATCCCCACAACTCGGAGTGTCCGGTGTAATTTTTTTGTTGTTGTCGTGCCCCTATCCCCCTAAACCGGTGTAACTTTCTTTTGTGTTGTTGTCGTGCCCCTATCCCCCCACCCCCTAAACCGGTGTAACTCTCTTCTATTTTCTTGTCGTGCACCTCTCGATGGAGCAGATGTCGGTGAGTTTCCTAACGTGCCGTCAAGTGTTATCGATGCCACTACTTACCTGGGCAAGGAGATCACCTGCCAGCACCCGCCCACAAACACAGGTGAGATTAGTTGGCACTTGTCTGGATCTTTTGGACCTGTTTGGAAGGTCTACCTTATGAATGTCTTTCTTAGAACTGTCTACTTTAGAACTGTCTACCTTAGAACTGTTAACCTTAGAACTGTCTACCTTAGAACTGTCAATCTTAGAACTGTCAACCTTAGAACTGTCTACTTTAGAACTGTCTACCTTAGAACTGTTAACCTTAGAACTGTCTACCTTAGAACTGTCAATCTTAGAACTGTCAACCTTAGAACTGTCTACCTTAGAACTGTCAACCTTAGAACTGTCAACCTTAGAACTGTCAACCTTAGAACTGTCTAAATTAGAACTGTCAACCTTAGAACTCTCTACTTTAGGCTTATCTACCTTAGAATAATCGTTTACCTCAATTAATATTGTCATGCTAATATCGTATTTGTGTCACCTGTCAACACGTCCAAAAACACAGATGCGATCTTTGTCCACCTTTAATGACTTTTCAGAAATTTACAATATTTATTTTGATTAAACTTCTGTACAGTTTGGACAAAAATGTATATTATCAGTTTGTTAGATTTAAAAAGGAAAAAAATGTCCATTGAAAAAAATGAATTTATGTAGTTTTAGATAGAATATAACGAAACAAAAAATAAACATTTTAAATTTGCAATTCTAACTTTGTTTTCTTGTATATGGTACAACTGGTACAAATCTAACTTTATTTTAATCAGACCTACGGTATAACTGGTACAAATCTAACTTCAACTTCATCCGCCCTGAGCTAAACGCCCAGTACTTCCTGTCAAAGAACGGCAACTTCTACATCTCTGAGGTTCAGGCGGCTGATGTGTAAGTTACCTAACTTAGATGGTACCTACAGCATCTCCATCCTATTACAAATCATTGTTATACTAGACAACCTTTATACAGTAAAGGTTCTTAGGTTTTGTATACATTTTTCTTACGTCACAGAGATACGTATTTTTGTATGGTCACCATGGCACCCAAACAACGCCAAGTCCTGACCGGAACCCAACCCCCCTCTCGTATATCCATGGGGCTCAAACTCCGAGTTCACGGGGAAAGTAAGTTCAACTTTATTATCTCCCTTTTACCTAGCGTTAAATTATCTCCCTTCTACCTAGTGTTATGTTGTCTTTCTTTTTCATTAAGTTGTGCTTTCTCTCTTTTACCTAGAGTTATATTATCACTCGTTTTACCGAGGGTTAAATTATCTCCCTTTTGGAGGTGTGTAATTTCCCTTCTTTCTAGAGTCGTGTTACCTCAATTTTATCCCGTGTTAGAATAGTTAGAATATGTTTTAGTCTTGTGTATGTCATAATCAGATGCGCAGACGTACGGACCAGACATACAGAACAGGTTCCCTCAAGTGTTCCCTGAAGTTCCAATGGCCGGCGAGACGGTTGAGATTGAATGCTTGGCATATGGGAGGTAATCTTTTTTATTAATATCAACTTTCTTGAATTAAATACTAGTTGTTTGGCCTGTATGTGCCTATGATTACTAACATGAAATTTAACAGTGTAATACTAATTGTAAAAGTGATAATTATTAATCAATACAGTTATGTGGATATAGTTCGTGTACTACTTTCAAAATACACCTGTAAAAACAATTCTGGTCTTAATATAGAAAATCAACCATTGGAATAAGTTAAATGTAAAAATTTTAAAATACAAAATTTCTTTATAATAAAGAAAATTATATTTACATTAAAAATAAGAAAATAAAATGATTTGTTATAAAAGCTTTTGTAATGATTTATAAATTTTCAAAACATATTGTGCCAAAATGAACTTATTTACTTTATAACTCTTGGTCCTACTATAATATGTACCTCCATGTTCCAGTACCCATAATGCACCTGTACCTTAGTTCATCCACTAACTCTCCTCATAGCTTCACCAAACGATATCTTTCCTGCTACCAAAAAAGCCCATATTTCTTTCACTTCGAGGTCCATAACTATTACAAAGAAAATAATTTCACCACTTCCTGCCCCCAGAATGCCCCTAAAACTTTCACTTCCTGTCCCCCAGAATGCCCCTAAAACTTTCACTTCCTGTCCCCCAGAATGCCCCTAAAACTTTCACTTCCTGCCCCCAGAATGCCCCTAAAACTTTCACTTCCTGTCCCCCAGAATGCCCCTAAAACTTTCACTTCCTGTCCCCCAGAATGCCCCTAAAACTTTCACTTCCTGCCCCCCAGAATGCCCCTAAAACTTTCACTTCCTGCCCCCCAGAATGCCCCTAAAACTTTCACTTCCTGTCCCCCAGAATGCCCCTAAAACTTTCACTTCCTGTCCCCCAGAATGCCCCTAAAACTTTCACTTCCTGCCCCCCAGAATGCCCCTAAAACTTTCACTTCCTGCCCCCCAGAATGCCCCTAAAACTTTCACTTCCTGTCCCCCAGAATGCCCATAAAACTTTCACTTCCTGTCCCCCAGAATGCCCCTAAAACTTTCACTTCCTGTCCCCCAGAATGCCCATAAAACTTTCACTTCCTGTCCCCCAGAATGCCCCTAAAACTTTCACTTCCTGTCCCCCAGAATGCCCCTAAAACTTTCACTTCCTGCCCCCAGAATGCCCCTGTACTACAGCTGGGTAAGGGACGACGATGACCTTAACCCTGGCGCCTACTACAAGGACTTCAACCGTGTCCTGGTGATCCCTAATGCACGTGTAGAGGACACGGGCTCCTACACGTGTGTGGTCAAGGGGGACCAAAACTCGGCCAACAAAACCGTCTACCTCAGTCTCAAAGGTCACTTTTATTTCTTAACTGGTTAAAACACTAGCACATTTCGAAGTTAAAGTCTGTTGTTGTTTTTTTTTTTTGTATATCTACAGTGGGTAGAGGGTAAGTGGACTGTAACTCTTTAAACGGAAAATGTTTTTTTTTTTTTAAATCAGCGGATAACAATATAGAAAGATTGTTCGGGGATAGGGGTCGGTCTGGTCGAGTCGGTAAAGCTCACGGGTGCTAAACCAAAAAGTCTCGAGTTCGAACCCTAGGGCAGGAGGCTCGTTAGCTGGGGACAGCCACTCTTCTAGGAGAGACAACTCCAAAATCAAACATCTGCTGCCTTGTAGTTTGTTCTTGGTTGGACAAAGGCTATGGAAGCAAATCCAAAAAGAAAAGCAGGCTGAAATCGGAGTTAATGACCTCAATGGCGCATAACCAGTTGACACGTAATACTTAATTGTGATGGAGGCGTGGTCGAGTTGGCAAAAGCTCATGGTTGATAAATTCGAAAAAGTCTCGCGTTCAAACCCTCTGGCAGATAAGGTTCGATCCCTTCCAATACAAAAAATTAAGTTCGGGTATGACATTACATTTTAATCCACCCTCCCTCCACCCCTCCTGCTTTCAGCCATCCCCAGCTTCCCCTACCCCCTACAGAACCAGCACCTGGACGTCGGCACCAACTTTACCTGGACCTGTAACGCTATCGGCATCCCTAAGCCGGTCTACACCTGGTACAAGAACGGCGTCCTGCTCACTGGCAGTACTGAGACGGGAGTCAGGGTGAGGACATACACACACATACACATGCATGCATCAGACTTAAACCACACATACACATGCACACACATACTCACATACATTCACGCAGTCGAACTCAAACATATACACACACTCACACATACATACATCGACGCACACAAACTTAAACATTCATACATACACACACTCACATACATACATACATACAAACAAACGCAAACATACATACACATACACACACATACATATACATACCCACAGACGAACTCAAGCATGCATACACATACACACATATACACATACATACACACAGACGAAACTAAACATATACACACATACACACACGTACACACAATTGCACACAAACTCATATACACGCACACAACACACTCAATTATAAACACACATGCATTCTGTCATTGATCAATACCTACACAGTTTAAATCTGACGCTGTGTTTGTATAGGGCTGGTAAGTAGGTCACCAACCAGTTCTATGGCTCATGCAGGTTTTATTGAGCCGTAGAACTGGTTGGTGACCTACTTACCAGCCCTATACCAAATTACCCATAATAAATTAACAGAAATCAATGTCAGATACTCTGAAATGTGTCATACTCACACACCATGCTACTGATACTTCTACTAACACTTTAAACACCAAGTAACATATTTCTCCACTTAACTGGCATATATCACTCCTTAGTATAATACACCTCTCATTTCTTTTTCACCTTGAACAACTCACTTATACTACTTCTCTTACTTTTCTCATAACATCTACTCACTTAACGCTTATTTATACCTCTCCTCGCGATTCTCATAGTCGTAGAGTGAAAATGAGTTAAGTTGTAGGTCGAACCGTAAACATGAGTTCGTATTATAAAAGATGAGAGAAACACAGAAACATTTTTCAAAATTGGCAATATTCAAAGACAAAGTTGAATCTTTGCCATTTGTAGGTTTGTAAAAGGCGATCTAAATGAAGTGGTTATGCGATTTGAAACTTTTTTTTTAATATTGCTTCTGGACTACTAAGAAGATACTTTTTTAATGATGTTTAACACATGTTGGTTATCGTCAGACTTATAATCATGTCCTGACTACTGTCAGTCACCTTGTCAGTCAGGTCACTAACCACCGCCTCCCCACCTTTGTTCCACAGGTGTACCGAAACACCATCAGCATCGATAAAGTAGATGCAAGCAAGCATGACGGGGTGTACCAGTGTGAGGCGTCCAACTCTTTTGGTCTGGCCAGGTCTAGCGCTCAACTCCGAGTGTTATGTAAGTATGTGTACGTATGTATGCCCATGCAAGTGTCTAATACGGTTCTCTTGAGCATTAGATTGAGTTATAATAAAAAAAAATATTTAGGTTAAATGTTGGCGTTAAGACTTAGTTAGCATTAGATTTAGTAAAAATAACAATGCAATATTTAGGATAATACATGTGTGATAGTAAAAGATTTTGACTCACAGCTGAATGTCACAAATGTGGGCAAATCGTTTCTCTGGGTTATGTGTGAATTGCGCTGCATCATTTACAGCATTAAATATGTCACTAGTATGCCCCTTCTCTTGTATTGAATGTTAGATTTAGACATAAAAACCAATGAAATACGTTTTTTCACCAACATTATCAGTAAGTAACCCGAGGAAGTCTGAAGGCTTCAACATCAGCTGGTACATTGAAATTAACTCACTTTGTAATTAAGCCTGACAAATTACTTAGGTCTAAACATTGTGATTTTTCATCATTTGTACATCGTTTCCCAACGTTTCTTAATGTTTATGACTTTATCTTTTATTCCGTGTTGCCCCAACCACCATATGTTTTCTACAAATCAGCTTTCTCATATACAGCGCCCCCCTCCCCTCCCCCACTAACATAACCATCTATTCAGCATTCACAAACAGTTTTATTCAAATATTCAGCGTTCCCTCAGCATTTATTTTATTCTATTCAGCGTCGCCCCCCCCCCCTCCCACCCCCAAACTTAAATGCTTTTCTATTCTGCGTTCCACCCAACATTTCTATTCTAATATTCAGCGTTCCCCCCAACATTTCTATTCTAATATTCAGCGTCTCCCCCCCCCCCAACATTTCTATTCTAATATTCAGCGTCTCCCCCCCCCCCCAACATTTCTATTCTAATATTCAGCGTCTCCCCCCCCCCCAACATTTCTATTCTAATATTCAGCGTCCCCCCCCCCCAACATTTCTATTCTAATATTCAGCGTCTCCCCCCCCCCAACATTTCTATTCTAATATTCAGCGTCTCCCCCCCCCCCAACATTTCTATTCTAATATTCAGCGTCTCCCCCCCCCCCCCCCCCCAACATTTCTATTCTAATATTCAGCGTTCCCCCCAACATTTCTATTCTAATATTCAGCGTCTCCCCCCCCCCCCCCCCCAACATTTCTATTCTAATATTCAGCGTCTCCCCTCCCCCCAACATTTCTATTCTAATATTCAGCGTCTCCCCCCCCCCCAACATTTCTATTCTAATATTTAGCGTCTCCCCCCCCCAACATTTCTATTCTAATATTCAGCGTCCCCCCCCCCCCCCAACATTTCTATTCTAATATTCAGCGTCTCCCCCCCCCCCCCCAACATTTCTATTCTAATATTCAGCGTCTCCCCCCCCCCCCCCCAACATTTCTATTCTAATATTCAGCGTCCCCCCCCCCAACATTTCTATTCTAATATTCAGCGTCTCCCCCCCCCCCAACATTTCTATTCTAATATTCAGCGTCTCCCCCTCCCCCCAACATTTCTATTCTAATATTCAGCGTCTCCCCCCCCCCCCAACATTTCTATTCTAATATTCAGCGTTCCCCCCAACATTTCTATTCTAATATTCAGCGTCTCCCCCCCCCCCCCAACATTTCTATTCTAATATTCAGCGTCTCCCCTCCCCCCAACATTTCTATTCTAATATTCAGCGTCTCCCCCCCCCCCAACATTTCTATTCTAATATTCAGCGTCCCCCCCCCCAACATTTCTATTCTAATATTCAGCGTCTCCCCCCCCCCCCCAACATTTCTATTCTAATATTCAGCGTCTCCCCCCCCCCCAACATTTCTATTCTAATATTCAGCGTCTCCCCCCCCCCCCCAACATTTCTATTCTAATATTCAGCGTCTCCCCCCCCCCCAACATTTCTATTCTAATATTCAGCGTCTCCCCCCCCCCCAACATTTCTATTCTAATATTCAGCGTCTCCCCCCCCCCCCCAACATTTCTATTCTAATATTCAGCGTCTCCCCCCCCCCCCCAACATTTCTATTCTAATATTTAGCGTTCCACCCAACATTTCTATGTTCTTCTATCCAGCGTTCCCCCCAACATTCATGCACAACCCCGTCGAAAGCTCTAAACAAGCCTCACTGGATGGCAACGTCACAATATCTTGCCGACCCCAGGCAGCACCTCGGGCCAGGATCACGTGGTTAAAAAATGGAGCGGAAGTCGGCAAGGTGTCACCGAACGGAGATCTGGAACTTTCCGGACTATCCCGGGCCGATTCTGGAACCTACACGTGCGTGGCGAGCAACGACTTGGGCGAGGCGCGGTCGAGTTGTTTACTGACTGTACTGGGTAAGTTGCGTGGCTATTTTTAGTGGTGTTAAGAGGCGTAGCAACGGGGGGGGGGGTACATATGGCCCCGGGCGCCGACCCTAAGGGCACAAAAATGGGTTTAAAAAAAGTTAAATCTCATTTAAGCTGCAGTTTTAAATTATAAATATAAAAAATATATGGCGGGGGATCGCACAATTGAAAGTTTGTCCCCAGGCACCGGTAGGGGTCGCAACGCCTCTTGTGGTGCTACATGGGGGTCGGGGTGGGGGTACTGCGGAAAACACCAGATACATTCTAGAACAGTAAACGGTACGTGTTCCTAAAAATAAGTCATGACTTGAGAAGATAGAAGTCATCTGTGTCATGACTTAGATGCTCGCTGTCTTAGGAATGCACTGACAAAAGCTAGGTGTGGCATGGAAAGTTCCACGAAAATGTAATATTTAAATGATCATGAATACATTGCCCTGAACAAGTTGCTCGAGTTGGTAAATCTCTATACGGCTCTGAAGATGAATAGATGAATATTTGGAAAACACTAGATTAGGGCGTGGCATGTCATTTATAACATTGTTTAAAATAAGTCAAGACGTGACATGACTTCAGTCCGGACATAACGTGACTTATCTATCTATATATATAATTCTCTTCTAGGAGACACCCTTACATGGTCTGGTGAGCAGTGGTTCACGCTATGTTTACATTCGTGGAGCCGGGTTTAGTGACGGCTATTAGGGGCAGATAATTTAGTTTGAAACGATATTAAACTTAGAGGAGGTAACTAAGATGATGCTGCTTTCACGGGGAGGGGGATTTTGGGGGTAATTTAAGTCTAGACTGAAAAACGGAAAATATAAATTTTATAACGTGAATTATGTTGCGCTTGATCTTTAACTCAGGTTGTAACTAACCTCTTTTTAACTCCCACCCCCACCCCACACACACCCTCACAGAGAAGATCGTTATCGTGGACGTCCCCCACAACACTGAAATCAGCCAGAACGAGACAGCGGTGCTACATTGTAAGGCGTCGTTTGATGAAAAGAAGATGGACGTCATGTACTCGTGGAAGTTCTATTCGCATTGGCTCGATTTTACGGAGGGTTCGGTGGGCAAAGTGCATTACTCCACGGTAAGGTTTGGGTTAGGTTTAGGTGGGGACAAAGTGCATTACTCCACGGTAAGGTTTGGGTTAGGTTTAGGTGGGGACAAAGTGCATTACTCCACGGTAAGGTTTGGGTTAGGTTTAGGTGGGGACAAAGTGCATTACTCCACGGTAAGGTTTGGGTTAGGTTTAGGTGGGGACAAAGTGCATTACTCCACGGTAAGGTTTGGGTTAGGGTTAGGTGGACAAAGTGCATTACTCCACGGTAAGGTTTGGGTTAGGGCAAAGTGTATGACTCCACGGTAAAGTTTGGGTTAGGTTTAGGTGGACAAAGTGCATTACTCCACGGTAAGGTTTGGGTTAGGGTTCGGTGGGGACAAAGTGCATTACTACACGGTAAGGTTTGGGTTAGGTTTAGGTGGGGACAAAGTGCATTACTCCACGGTAAGGTTTGGGTTAGGTTTAGGTGGGGACAAAGTGCATTACTACACGGTAAGGTTTGGGTTAGGTTTAGGTGCGGACAAAGTGCATTACTCCAAGGTAAGGTTTGATTTAGAATAAAGTGCATTACTCCAAGGTAAGGTTTGATTTAGAATAAAGTGCATTACTCCAAGGTAAGGTTTGATTTAGAATAAAGTGCATTACTCCAAGGTAAGGTTTGATTTAGAATAAAGCGCATTACTCCACGGTAAGGTTTGATTTAAGGTTAAGGGTTAGGTGCTAAGCGTTAGGCTACGGTCAAAATAAAATAAAATAAACTATGATAAGTGTTGGCCTAATGTTAGTTTAGGTGCAGAAAAAGATTAAATTACAAAATAGTTTTTGGTTTAAGTTTAAGTTAGGTGTGGTAAGGTGCATGGTAAAGAAAAGTATTCTATGTAAGTTTCGGTTTAAGTTTAGCTGAGGCTAGGTTTGGTCAGGTTAGTTTCAGTACAAGATCAATCACCCACATATTGTTTTTGAAATCTTAATATTGGTAAAAGAACTTCTTGTTTGTATAAGATATCAATTTTTACCACATTTCTGCTAACATCTGTTTTTTTGTCACAATTTTTTGTTTCCACCAATATCATTTTTCTATCAAATTCCTGTTTCGACAACTTTCTGTTTTGCACCAATTTCCTGTCTTTACAAACTTCCTGTTTCAGTAACTTTCTTTGGTAACAATTTCCTAATGTCATCAATTTCCTGTGTCCACGAACTTCCTGTTCTCCCCCACTTCCTGCCTCTTCCCCCCTTCCCTTCTCTCCACCCCCCCCCCCCCCCTATATTAATTGTCTCCATCCATTTCTTGTCTCCACCTACTTCCAGTCGCCACCTGTTGTGAATGATATTTTAGTGTACAAAATGGATATGAGAGATGTTGAATGTAACGAGGCAAGTAAGGATGTGACGTGTGAGAGTGTGATTTGATTGTTAGGGGAAGGAGTTGAGGTTGTTATGTTGGTGTGTGGATGTCTTCGGCTGTCGACGTCGATATAGTCGTGCCCGTTGTGTTTTGAAACAGTGTAATTGGAAGATGAGATGAACAACGCCGTCCTTTTTTGATTTGTAATTGTATTGGGTCGTCGTACGTTGTTCTTTATATTGAAGCATCGACCCCGTCCACATCTCGCATTCATAAAACCTGCTACTTCCTGTTGTCCCCCACAGGCCCAGAACTCCGGCATGCTCTACATCATTGCCGCCCAGTTCGAGCACGAGGGTGAGTACACATGCGTGGCGTCAACCGTTGCCGGATCCGTTTCAGCCAGTGCTTTCCTCACCGTCAGAGGTAAGTGTACCGTACCCTAACAAGATGAGTTTTATCTACACATGTAATGTCCATGTTAATTTTAGGCAATTTTTTTTATTACAACATTAAAATACTCATCTTTTTTAGCATTCTAATATAAACAAAATGTTATATACACATCATGATTATCACAATTAATTTAATAAATCCAGAGCAGATTCATTTTTATAATAAAAATTTCGGCAGTATAAATTCGATAGTTTTTTTTTTAATTTTTTTATTTTTTTAAACACATTTTTTTTCATTACTTCCTTAAAGTTAGTAGCAATTCTTTCATCATCATCTTTTCATTTTTGTGCCCAAGACACATGGGGCCGCCACAGAAAGCTCCCTCTCACTTATGTCAGTCACCGGCAATTTTCCTGGCGGTCCCCCTTGACAGTCCTACCCCTTCCAGCTGCTCACACACAAGCACACTTCCCCCACCCCCATTATAAAATCAACTCACACACAAGCACACTTCCCCCACCCCCATTATAAAATCAACTCACACACAAGCACACTTCCCCCACCCCCATTATAAAATCAACTCACACACAAGCACACTTCCCCCACCCCCATTATAAAATCAACTCACACACAAGCACACTTCCCCCACCCCCATTATAAAATCAACTCACACACAAGCACACTTCCCCCACCCCCATTATAAAATCAACTCACACACAAGCACACTTCCCCCACCCCCATTATAAAATCAACTCACACACAAGCACACTTCCCCCACCCCCATTATAAAATCAACTCACACACAAGCACACTTCCCCCACCCCCATTATAAAATCAACTCACACACAAGCACACTTCCCCCACCCCCATTATAAAATCAACTCACACACAAGCACACTTCCCCCACCCCCATTATAAAATCAACTCACACACAAGCACACTTCCCCCACCCTCATTATAAAATCAACTCACACACAAGCACACTTCCCCCACCCCCATTATAAAATCAACTCACACACAAGCGTACTTCCCCCACCCTCATTATAAAATCAACTCACACACAAGCACACTTCCCCCACCCCCATTATAAAATCAACTCACACACAAGCACACTTCCCCCACCCTCATTATAAAATCAACTCACACACAAGCACACTTCCCCCACCCTCATTATAAAATCAACTCACACACAAGCACACTTCCCCCACCCCCATTATAAAATCAACTCACACACAAGCACACTTCCCCCACCCCCATTATAAAATCAACTCACACACAAGCTACATTCATACAATTGTTAAGAGAGTACGTCGTGTCGTCTGCTAATACTTTTGAACACCTTCCTTCCATCAGGACCCCCGGGTGAGCCGGGTGGGGTGCACGTCAGGCAGGCGAAGAACGGCTCGGATTTAAATTTTGGCGACATCGCCATCTGGTGGCAGGAGGGAGAGTACCACGGGTTCCCTGTGACCAAGTATCTGATAGAGTACTTGTCGTACTTTGAGAAAGATTGGAAACTACTTCTGGCTGGTACGTTGGTTGAGTTGTTGCATTTTGTAGTTGGTTATGGTTAAAGTTTGGGGTTAGTTTAGATGGTTGTGGACTGGCTGTTCCAAGTATCTGATAGAGTACTTGTCGTACTTTGAGAAAGATTGGAAACTACTTCTGGCTGGTACGTTGGTTGAGTTGTTGGTTTTTGTAGTTGGTTATGGTTAAAGTTTGGGGTTAGTTTAGATGGTTGTGGACTGGCTGTTCCAAGTATCTGATAGATTACCTGTCGTACTTTGAGAAAGATTGGAAACTACTTCTGGCTGGTACGTTGGTTGACATGTTAGTTTTTGTAGTTGGATTATTGTTAAGGTTTGGGGTAGGTTTAGAAGGTGGTGGATATAGAGGGTTATGGGTGAGAGTGAGGTTGGTGGGTTAAAAATTAAGTTTTGGTTCAGTGTTATGTTAGGGTTAAGATTTTGTCAATTTTTTGTTTTTTAACCAGGTGGGGTTTAAGTTAGGTTTTTATAAACTGCGAGGGTTTAAGAATACACATTTTTAGGGATTAGTTAAGTTTCCATCTCTTAGTTTTCGTTTAATAACTTCATTTAATCATAACTCGAGTTAGGGTTATAGTTTAGGTAGAAGTATTTGCGTACTTATATTGGGCTCGTACTTATATAGGTTTTTATGTTAAAACTAGGATTAGAAATCGTTTGGACAATTATGTATGTTTCGCAATATCGTGGTTGCACTTTAGAAAGTGAAGCAAAGGCTTCTGGACATATAAGGGCAAGATGGAAGAGAGCCCTATGCCAGACTGGATTAACTCAAGTCATAGTTTGATTGTAATTAATGTTGTAGCCAGACGTAATAGTAAATTCCAGGTGCATCTAAACATCATCTTCTGATGTTCATCTAAACATCATCTTCTGATTTTCATCTAAACATCATCTTCTGATGTTCATCTAAACATCATCTTCTGATGTTCATCTAAACATCACCTTCTGATGTTCATCTGAACATCATCTTCTGATGTTCATCTAAACATCATCTTCTGATGTTCATCTAAACATCATCTTCTGATGTTCATCTAAACATCATCTTCTGATGTTCATCTAAACATCATCTTCTGATGTTCATCTAAACATCATCTTCTGATGTTCATCTAAACATCATCTTCTGATGTTCATCTAAACATCATCTTCTGATGTTCATCTAAACATCACCTTCTGATGTTCATCTGAACATCATCTTCTGATGTTCATCTAAACATCATCTTCTGATGTTCATCTAAACATCATCTTCTGATGTTCATCTAAACATCATCTTCTGATGTTCATCTAAACATCATCTTCTGATGTTCATCTAAACATCATCTTCTGATGTTCATCTAAACATCATCTTCTGATGTTCATCTAAACATCATCTTCTGGCATTCCAGACATCCCAGCACAAGACACACATATCCAGGAGTACCCCGACTGGCGGGGGGTCGACGTCAGGGAGGGGCTGTCCCCCGGGACGTCGTACCAGTTCAGGGTACGGGCAGGGAACAACCAGGTGGGCTACGGTCCTGCCAGTAACGGGCCTTTTGGTGAGTACAGAATTTTATCATGGTTTAACCCTACCTTTTTGTGAGTACATAATTGTATCATGGTTTAACCCTACCTTTAGTGAGTACATAATTTTATCATGGTTTAACCCTATCTTTTGGTGAGTACATAATTTTATCATGGTTTAACTGTACCTTTTGGTGAGTACATAATTTGTACTATTGTATATCACTACCCTAAAGCACGCGTTGTTTACATCATTACATTTTATTTGATTGTGTCTATACAAATGTATACTTGTATCTGATATTGTATGATGTCAATCTATGATTTGAACTCTACCCCCACAGACTGGTATAGAATGGTATCCGCCGCACCACTTTACGCACCGACCAACATCCGGGGAGGGGGAGGGAGCGTAGGGCTGCTCATCATCAAATGGGATGTAAGTCTTTTAAATACTTTAACTTTTTAAGCCACTGGTATATAGGTGCATGCAGGGAGAGGAGAGGTAGACCAAGAAAGAACTGGAGACTTGACATGGAAGAAGACACCAAGAAGATTGGATACACCTGGGGACAGTTGGAGAGACTAGCCCAGGACACCTGGGGACAGCTGGAGAGACTAGCCCAGGACAGGATACACCTGGGGACAGTTGGAGAGACTAGCCCAGGACATGATACACCTGGGGACAGTTGGAGAGACTAGCCCAGGACAGGATACACCTGGGGACAGTTGGAGAGACTAGCCCAGGACATGATACACCTGGGGACAGTTGGAGAGACTAGCCCAGGACAGGATACACCTGGGGACAGTTGGAGAGACTAGCCAAGGACAGGATACACCTGGGGACAGTTGGAGAGACTAGCCCAGGACACCTGGGGACAGTTGGAGAGACTAGCCCAGGACAGGATACACCTGGGGACAGTCGGAGAGACTAGCCCAGGACACCTGGGGACAGTTGGAGAGACTAGCCCAAGACAGATATGCCTGACACCAAGAAGATTGGATACACCTGGGGACAGTCGGAGAGACTAGCCCAGGACACCTGAGGACAGTTGGAGAGACTAGCCCAGGACACCTGGGGACAGTTGGAGAGACTAGCCCAGGACAGAGACGCCTGGAAAGCTCTTGTCAGCGGCCTATGTCAGTAGTATATTAGGTCACTTTTGGGTCGTATTTTTGGCGGAGGAGCGCAGGCGCAGGCGCAAAGGTTATATAGTAAAATACTCGGAGGAGCTGCCGCAGCCTGCCGCAGCCTGGGACAATGAGATATAGTAAAATACTCCCAGCCTGGCGCAGAGGCTGGGTGAGGAGCGGAGGGTGAAGGCGCAAAGACATATAGTAAAATATTACGCCAACTGGTGTTGGCGGAGGAGTGAAGGGTGAGTCACCTTTTGGTGACCTTGTGACGTAATCATTGACCTTGTGACGTAATTAGTGACCTAGTTACGTAATTTTAATGCGTTTTTAATGAGTTTTAATGAGTTTTTTTAAATTTTAATTAATTTTTATTATCGAGTTACGTAATTTAATTACTTTGTATTTTTATTTTGTTTAATTTGTTTGTTTACTTGTTGTTTCATTTAATTACTTTGTTTATATTGTGTAATTTTTTATTAACGAGTTACGTAATTTGATTATTTGTTTACTTTTTAATTATTTTTATTTTGTTTATTTTGTTTGTTTACTTGTTGTTTAATTTAATTACTTTGTTTATATTGTGTAATTTTTTATCGACTAGTTACGTAAATCGATTATTTTGTTTATTTTAATTTTAATTTTGTTTATTTTTAATGTAATTTAATTTTATAATTAGTTTGAATTTAATTTAATTACTTTGTTTATATTGTGTAATTTTTTATTAACGAGTTACGTAATTATTTTAATCTATTATTTGTTTGAAATTCATTTTAATTAATTTGATTTTAATTACTTTGTTTAATTTAATTACTTTGATATATTTCTTTTCTTTGTTGTTAAATTTGTTGGTTTGTTTATTTGATTGTATGTATGTTTAATAGTAAACGGAGAGGGGTGGTCAGGGATTGTGAGGGATGGTCGGGGTTGAGGGTAGGGGTGTGCTAGCATGTACTAGAACAGTCTTTCTATAACAGCCATTAACCAGCCGTCCAACACAACGAAAGTGTACTTTGTGTATAACATTCATTAAAGATAACGATCAGGCGACAGTGGTGTTACTTATCGATCCGTGATCCTTTGTTGACACGCGCTGCGCTTTTAATGGGAATGTATTGATCGCACCCACGGAGCCATCGGGACAACGGGCGCGTTAATATTGATTCCACACACGGCCATCAAATGATGGTCCGCCTAATTAATTCGGTCATGCATCGTGGGTTTATGTCGACTACAAACATCCATTAGAGACACCTGTTACTCGCTAAGGGCACCCGACACGTATCGATCCACATGCGATCCTTTGTTCTTGTCAACCACCGTACAAGGGCCAAGTTAATATTGATCGAACCCACTGACCATCAGTATGATGGTCCACCTATGTGTAATTTTTATTAACGAGTTACGTAATTTGATTTTAATTTTTTAAATTTTTAAATTTTTAATTTAATTTTATAATTAGTTTAATTATTATTAACGAGTTACGTAATTTGATTTTAATTTTTTTAAATTTTTAAAATTTTTTTAAATTATTATTTTTAAATTTTATTTTTAATTGTTGTTTACTTGTTGTTTAATTTAATTACTTTGTATAATTTATTTGTTTGAAATTCATTTTAATTAGTTTGCTTTTAATTTCTTTGTTGTACGCCGTTTGAAATAAAAGACTAACACTAGAGTGTACTAGAAAGTGTCATTGTGTATAACATCCATTTAACCACAGCTGTTACTTATTAGCGACAGCTTGTACTTATCGATCCGCCCGTGAGCCTCCCCGGCGCTCCCCGTGGTTGCTTAATAGCGGACTCACTGAAGCGATCACAACAGGTAATTAATCGAAACCATTAAGTCCCTCTCCGCGTTAAGTGTGGCGACAGCTGGTGCTGTAATTAGTCACGGCTCTCGGCTTTTTTCATTAGACTTCAGCTGTACATGAACTATGTTCACATATCGTACGCCCGGTCATTCTTTGATCAAATTAAAAAATTTTGTTTCCACATGTCCTGCGAACCGTCCCTTGCTATGTATGAAAGATTAATGGTTGTAACTATTCGCTTATAGCGAGGGTCAGCGAAAACAAAAATATATTTAAGGGTCGGAATTTTCTTTCAACCACCGTTAAGTCAGGTTTTGAGACGAAACGAAGTCTCGGTAGGTTCGTGTTTTTTAATGGGCGACAGGGCGACTTGATGCGTTGGTACGTAGGTATGCGGGGTTAAGGTTCTATAACTCTATATATTTAAATACGTTTTTTTTTTATTCAAATGAGTTTACTCCCCCTAACGTAAGTACATGTAAAGAGGGATTTCCTATAGATCTGTAATGAATTAGGCCTTTTTGACTATGACTTGTTGCCCAGGTGTTGACATGATACGCTTTTTTGAGATATACACACACACACACACACACACAAACACACACACACACACACACACATGCGCGCGCGCGCGAAATTCATACTAGGTCGGTAATGGCGGAGAGAACTTATAGGTATACATTATCATGGCGACAACAAAAGCGACTCTTATTTTATTTACATGAAAGCGTGTTTTCCAAAAAGTGTCACCATGCCATTGTCATTTTCGCAGCGGGGTTTATTTTAAGTGTACCCCGTGCACGGTTGTTTACATTTTAAAAGACGTGTCGCGTGTCTTCCCCTTACCGCTTCCCTAATAGAGAAACGAGAGGAAAGACAACTGTTCTAAAATTAGAACAGACTTGTCTACACACACGAGTATCGTCCCTTGTGAAAAAAAAAAAAAAAAATTCGCGTCAGATTCCTTAACTAAACAGTCAATTTCTTTAACAAGTTAAAAAATAATTTAGGAAGACAAGGGTTAACAACATTAGACGCTACCGTTTTTGTTTCCTGTGACGACAAGGCACAATACACTTTTGTATTTTATGTCTCAAGTAGAGGGTGGGATATTTTTTTCTTTGTAAGCGTGTTGTAAACAATGGGTAGAGGAAGCGATTACTAGGTAAGAGGGGAGAGAACGTGACGTACATCGCGATATTTGAAAACATGGCGATGTTTAACCTCAACCAAAAAAGGCAATGAACCTAGAAGGAAGACGAATATATATCTTAGTCTTGCAGCAGATTACCTTCCCATGTTCGCTTTAGTATTACAGTTTTCATCAATCTTCTTTTTGACTTGAACTTCTTTAATTTTTAAGAAAGTTTACTTATACATAATACATTACGTCTAATGACAATTTTTTTATTTTTACCACTCAATGTATTTTCTTTTTCTATACCTTACATTGTCATCTTAATTTTTGATCACCTTAGTAAAAATTTGCTTAAGATTATAAACTTCAAGTTTTAAAAAACAACAACGTCGTGTCAAATGACACACCGTTTAAAATGTCTACATTTAAAGTTCACCAAAATAATGACGTAAAAACTAAATATCATATGACATTAGCATACATATCATTCAATCTAATCACTCTAAAGTACAAATCAATAATTTTTATTGATTAAGGGGCTGGGTGAGTTATTTTTATCACTATTCCCCCTTCCCCTTCCCTTTGTCCGCAACCCCTTTCCCCTTCTCCCATCCAACCTTGCGTCATCACACTAACCTCAATACCAACCGCTAGATACACAGACCGTACCACTACCCATTCTATTCCATTTAAGAGACAAAGGCTGTATGACAATCCTAAAGACAAATATTTATTCAACTAATATCACAACCCCTAGACACTACTCCAACAGACTGGGCTATGTAAGTTGTAGACGCCACTCCTCGTTGAATATCTCTTGCACCCTACCTACATCGACAACTTTGTCCGCCGCCCTCGCCCTATCCCTAAACACCCGCTTGATAAACACACCATACCACTACCCACACTATTCCCTTGGACAGACAAAGGACAAAGTAACAGACAAACATTTATCCCCCTTCGTTTACTGTCACAAGTGACAACGTTCCCATCCAACTCCGAAACATCCATGCCCCAATTTCGAAACCAACCTCGTTGAAAACTCCCCTGACCCTAGTTTAACTTTGCCTCACCGATTCCAAAACAGTCCTGTACCAAACATCCATGTACCAATTTTGAAACCTGTCTTGTTGAAAACAAAAAGACCGTCCCACTCTAGTGTAAACTCTACCCCGATCAACTCCGAAACAGGGATGGTCCTCGTTTGAAACCTGCCTCGGTGAAAACAAAATCCTTCCCACTCTAGTATAGACTCGGCCTCTAACACTTCAAAAACATCCCTGTACCAACTTTGAAACACAACTCGGTGAAACCCAAACTCCCCCAACGCTAGTTTAAACTCTTCCCTCAT